TGTTCGCACCAACTCCTGTTCCTGTTCATTCGTGGTACAAAGACACACCGCTTTTTTTCCCGGTTGAATTTTCAGAAACAGAGCTCATTCGTAAAGCAAGTTACAGCTTTCATACAAAGACTGAGAAACAAGGACCAATGCCCCAAAGCGGAAAGGTGTGCTCACGAACGTGCGTCTACGCACACACCCACAGACCCCACAACCCAACAAATGATCACTCATCCCCTGGAGCAAGAGTGAGCCTCCCAATGTCCCAATCTTGGGATTTCCCCCTTTCTGCTATCCCCTCCCCTGAACCTCCAAGAGGTTCTTTCAAGTTCTGCCTTTCAAGTTACAAGGAATCCCAACCCCCCTATAACCACATTACAAATTCTTGGCCAGTTAACCTTTCCTGACATCTCCCCCGCGTCAAAGAGGAGCCTCCTGCCTTCTTTTCCTTTAGGGTCGGGGTGAGGTGGCAGAACAGCGCTGTGACATTCCTGCTCTGCCCACCCCCTCCCACGGCTCCTTGGCTCGACCCACCCTCCGGAGTCCCATAGCCGGGCGCCTCCTCAGAGTCCTGCTTCTGCACTAACCCAAGTCCAAGGGCACCAAACGGAACCTTCTGGTCCAGGTGCTTTTTCTATACTGGTAGCCCGTTAGAAGGGGTGGGGGGGACATATTGAAACAACGAATTTCCTTTACTGAGAACTTTGGTTTAAAGACATTCCTCTGGGCCCTCCTTCCCAGCCCTGATTCTCCCCCCCAAGAAGGAATAGACTGTTCCCTTTGGGCGCCAAGGCTTGGGGTATCTCCCTGGGGCCAGCCTCTGGAAGGGACCGATATCATTTCCAGCCTCATTCATTAACTTCTCCCTAAGTCCCAAGGCTTCCTCAAACCGTACTGCAGTTCTAAGGCGTTGGCTCGGAGTCATCTCCCAAAGTGGGGCCACCAGCACCCCCCACACACACTGAGGGCATAGCTCCCCCCGCCCCGCAAAGTAGGAGCAGCAGCCTCCCCCGCTAAATGGTTCCCGGGGCTCGAACCCCACTGCCACAGCGCTGGGCTCCGGCCGGAGAGCCTGACTAACTCGGGGAGACGAAGTCCTCTCCAAGCGGCCTCGGACCCCAGAGGGCAGGGCTCCGGACCCCGGACACCCCAGCACCGCGGGGTGCTGTAGCCTGCAACCCCTGCAGGACACCCAGTCTTCACTCTCCTCCGCAAGGGTACGGAACTAGGGGGCCGAGGGTGGCCGAGCCGAGGCCGCCTCCCCCTCCCCCTCCCCCTCCCCGCACCCCCCCCGGGCGCACAGGAGGGGGGTTCGGCCGCCGGACAGCAGGCCCGGTCCTCCCCGGAGGCGCGCGTGTCGAGTTGTCCGTCGCTGGTAGGTCAGCCCCCCGGCAGCGACCCCGGGACGGCCCGCCCGCGCGCGGCTCGGCGCCCCGGTCCAGCCCGCCGCCCGGACGCCCCGAGCCGCTCGCGCCGCTACCTGCAGGGGCCGCCGCGCCTCTCAGTACCCCGCCGCCGCCATCTTGCATTTCAAACCGGCTGCACTTTTCAGGGAGTCAACTTTGACCTGTGACCCCTAAACCCGGAACCGCTCGGCGGGCCCGCAGAAGGGGGCTTCAGCAATCAGGCGAGCCCCACAGGAGCTGGGCGGCCGAGGCAGAGGTGCCAGGCGAGGCGCGCGCCCGGGGCGGGACGGGAAGAGCTGCCCAAGACCCCGAACGCCGCCCGCCTGCCCGCCCGCCCGGCGCCGACTCTGCTGCCCGCCCCGCCGCTTCCCGGGGTTTCGATCCCCGCTGCTCCCTGGGGTTTGACGCGCGGAGGGAGGTGAAAACCGCCCCGCCTCCTGTCAAGAGAAGCCCCGCCCCACCTGAGAAGCTCCGCCCCCGCCGGGAGACTCCCGCTTCTCACGCCCCTTAACGATAGCTCCGCCTTCTAAACGCTCTCTTGTCCACCCAGGAGGCAGCTCCGCCCACGGAAAGTTGTGGGCCCGCCCCCTGAGCGCCCCGCCCAGCTTTCCACACATCACCGCCAGACCCGGAGAGGTACGCAAGACCGCTTCTGCGACAACGCCCCCTGTCATCATAAGCTCCACCTCCCGAGGGGTCGTACCGGTTAAGCCCCACCCCATGAGCAGAAGCCCCATCTTCCGTCAGCTGCAGTCCCGCCCCTTGTCAACTCTTCTTGCCCCACCCTCTGACACTGAAAGTTCAGTTCAGTCCCACTTCCAACCGTTTTGCAAGACAGAGCATCCTGGGTACTTCAAACCGTTCTCAACGAGTCACTTTCTTTCCAGCGTGGGCTTCAAAACCCAGTGAAGCAGCCCGCCAGAGGACCAGCCAAGGACCCAGACCTTCGGGCAAAGCGGGCGGCGTCAGCATCCTCCCCATCTCCTCCTCCCCCAGCGCCCGCCCTGCTTTTTATAAGGAAGAAGAATACAAACGGACAGGTCCGCCGGCCTGCACCGGAGACCTCTTCGGTGCCTTGCTGTCAGGGATCTTCTCAGGGATCTTCTGTGCCGTGACTGCAGGGCTCCACTGAGCCAAGTCAATCCTAATGTGAAAATCTGCAGGTGGAAGTCAATGCACATCGGCTACTCTTTATTCGCAGTTGTCTCAGAAGCACAGAACTTGTGCAAGTGGCAGGAAGCACCCTTATAATGATCTTATAGGCACAGGGATTCACCCTGGCTGTGCTTCATGCTCGGTGTGTGCAAGAAAAATAGTAACGGCCCTTTCCGAAATGGAATTTTAGATCATGTAAATTACCTACATAAATTAAAATCAGGAAACCAATATCATATCCTAACGACATAAAGATGTAAAGAAAAAACCAATAATAAAATACTAATCTACTATCAGGAGTCTCGGGAGGGTGGTGTAGTGGTTATGCGTTGGGCTGCGATCCTGTGATCTGCAGTTCAAAACCACCAGCAGCTCTGTGGGAGAAAGACCAGGCTTCCTACTCCCATAGAGAGTTACAGCCTCAGAAACTCACAGGGCAGTTCTACCCCGCCCTATGAACCGACATAAACTGGGTGGCAGCAAGTGAGACTCTGGTCATTAAAGATCATGAAATAGTGTGTTTCAGTGTGTAAATACCGTGGCACCACTAGAGAACTATAATAACTGTACCCACAATATTTCAAAATGCCTCTAAGGGACAGTGCTGTACTCAAAGAAAACCTCTGCTTAGGAGGGCTCAAAACCAAACCTATTCAGCTCTAGCGGATTCTGACCCCTCTGCTGACCTTTTCCTTAGCAGCCAGCACTTCACCACTGTGCCACCAGGGCTTCAGTGTAGGACTTACCTGGGAGGAAAAGAAACGCTTCAGGCACAGAAGTCCGTTCTTTTGTTGAAGTAGTTTGTTTTTGCAGCAGCGCGTGTGTTGGGCATCCTGGGAGGTCCAAAGCTCTGAGAGTCAGGTCATCCTGTCTACAAGGAGCTTACAGCCTAGTAGACTAGAACACGAGAGCATAGCAATGCATCTAGCAAGATGTGAGGTGAGACTAGATCAAGGAAAGATACATCGACACTCCTTTAAGGAGATGAAAGGTGCCCTGGTGGTACTGCTGGGTAAGCGTTGGGCTGCTAAGTGCAAGGTTGGTGTTTCAAACCCACTAGCTGCTGCTCAGTGAGAGAAAGAAGAGACTGGCTGCTCCGGGAAAGATTTATAGCCTCAGAAACCCTCATGGGTCTCTATGAGTGAGAAGAACAAACCTATCTGTCCTAGAAGAAGTATGGTTAGAGTGTTCTTTAGAGGCAAGGATGGTGAGACTGTCTTACATGCTTTGAACAAGTTATCAGGAGAGACCAATTCCTGGACATCATGTTTGGTCAAGTAGAGGGACAACAAAAAAGGTGAGAGCCCTTAAGGAAATGGACGGATGCCGTGGCTGCAACGATGGCCGTAAGCATAGCAACACTTGTGAAGATGGTGCAGACCGGGCTGTTCCCTTCTGTTGTGCATAAGGTCACTCCGGGTCAGAGCAGCCTGACGGTGCAATGTGAGTCAGAATCAATTCGACCATAGTGGGTTGATTCTTTCGGTCCTCTTCCTCTTCTTTTTCATCTTCATTGGCATCAGGTTACAGAACCAGCTCCTCCTCCTCCGATCAACTGTCTGCCTGGTCCTCCCAACCCGGGGCCACATGCCCAGGGCAAGTCTCGGAAAGCCATCTCAGTCACACAGTGCTGAGACTAAGGAACGGAGCCCTTAGCTGAACCACCAATTATTTGGTATCTGGTACAAAGCAAGGCTCTTATCACCACTGGGAAAAACTGTGCACAGCCCTAAGTGATAAGAATATAGGTTTAGCATTGCAAGCTGTGCCCACCCACCTAAATCTGCTTAGAGATCATATTCACAAGTGTAACTTGTTTTTCATTAAAATCAATTCATTTGTTCAAACAAACAAACAAAAAAACCCAAGCCTCAAAATGTAAATATGACTGAGTCCAACAGCTGTGCGGCTCCTGCAGTAGGTTTGTATCCACAGATTGGCACAATTAGAAGACTCTAGATTTCTCATGCATTTTTTTTTGAAATTGTCACGCACAGACTGATTCAGCAAAACTTTCATGCTGTTTGAGATGAGATGTTGTTCAGCAGGTTTTAAAAAGCACAGTCCTCTTGCTATTCAGAGCCTCTTCAACCTCCAGAACTCACAGAGAGAGAAAATACTGGTAGGAAAGGAAGAGCTTTGAGTCAGAAGCTCTGAGTGCCCCTGTCATCTGATGGGGACAAGGCTGCTGATGGCACTGTTTGTAGTAGTTTTATTATTTTTCCCTTTTTCCACTCTTGGTTGAAAAATCTTCAAAAAAATATGGTAGGTGGCATGAACCAGATCAACTCAAAAGACCTCAAACGCAGGCATTTTAAACGTTTAGCTCTAGCTGGTTGAACTGGAGGGTTTAACCAGTTCTCTCTCCCGGTGACTTCAAAAGGTGCACAAGCATGTGTCTGCTACAGCTGGCTCGGGCGGAAGCACCTTTCAGCAGTGATTAGGGTCAGGTCATGTCTTAATCCTCTCTAGTGCCCACTCTGTGAAAAGAATGTTATTGATAACAATAGAGCAAAACAAGTTGAAATTCTTATCTTGGGAAACCAGAGGATATCCTAGTCTCTACCAGATCTCCCACTGCCATCGAGTCGGTGCCAACTCATAGCCACGCAATAGGACAGGATAGAACTGCCCCTGTGAGTTTCCAAGACTTTAACTCTTTATAGGAGTAGAACTCTCCAAAAACAACAACAACATCAAGCCCATCTTTCTCCTGCAGAGGCTGGTGGTTTTGAACTGCTGACTCTGCAGATCGCAGCCCAGTGGGTAACCGCTCCAGCACCAGGGCTGCTCTATCAGATCCAGCAGGTCAGCTATAGGATCACTGGGGCAAAAGTGGAATGAGAGAGAGGAAGAAATGATTTCCTTAGTATTTATTTGAACAGAAACACAGTGATACACTTGATGTTTTTAAAAGCATACTGTCATCTGGGTTGGTTCAATCATCAGAGTGTAACTTTATTTCGACCTAAGATTGGACATTTTAATTGTATGTTTTGACTAAACTTGTAGCTCACAACTAACCCTAATGGAGAAAGGGATAGCTGTGACCTACAAGTTTAGGTCAGAACATAAATTGCTCAGAAGCAACACTTGCGTGAGAAAATGCTTTGAAACTCACTGTTTCCCAGGTTTCATGCAGGAGGCTAGTGTGTGAGAATGCTTAGAAGCCGCTGTTTTCCATACAGATTCCCAGGCCCAGCATACTCACCAGGCTCTGCATCTGCATTTTGAAAAGGTAGCTGGTGCTCCTGAAACAAGTGAGCCGTGTGGTACGTAAAGCTTAGTTGGGAGAAATCATGATCTAGAAAAATGCTTATCATGCAGGCAAAAGAGTGCATTCCCGCAGCATAGACAAAAGGTCAGGGATCTAGACAAACCAACGCCCCTGGGCCTAGAGGTACATGCCTAACGCTGTCGATGTCCAGGTTCCAAGAAACCTGTGATTCCCTAAACTCTGGCCATGGGCCTTTCATGGTCTCGTGTTCTCTGCCTGGTGTCTCTGTGAGGTTGTTGTTAGGGGCCATCTTGTCAGTTCTGCTCATAGCGACCCCATGTACAACCGAATGAGACAGCCCCTGGTCCTGTGCCATCCTCTTAATTGTTCTGACGTTTGCGCCCATTGTTGCAGCCACGGTGTCAGTCCATCTTGTGGAGGGCCTTCCTCTTTTTTCGCTGCCCCTCAGCTTGACCTCACGTTTCTGTGAGGTAGTCAGTATGATGTGCAGTTCCTAAATGAGGCAGCTGAGCTTTGGAGAGCTTAACTTGACCAAGCTAAGTGAGCTGGGTTTTGAACCCACCCCAACTAACCCCGGAGCCCATTTCCGTCACCACTGGTTCCTACTCGGATGAGAGGACTGCCCTTTACAGGCAGCAACGCGATGTCATGTTTTGCTTACAATAAGCACGCGATAGAAAGCTGAGGCTGTCTGCTCCCATAAAGACTTACAGTCTTGGAAATGTGTGGCAGTCCTCTTCTGCCCTACAGGGTTGCTAGGACGTCAGTGGGTTTTACATGACCTGTTTACCCCACGAGTAGAAACCCCCTTCTTTTGGACCCAA